TGGTGCCCAGCAGGTCGAGGCTGTGGTGGCCGGGAGCGGCCACTGCACTCCAGTCTGGGCGACAGAGTAAGACTCCAACTCAAAAAAAAAGAAAAAGAAATTAGGACAGTGAGCCGGGCTTGGTGGCTCAGCCTGTAATCCTGCGCCTTTGGGAAGCTGAGGTGAGTGGATTGCCTGAGCCCGCGGGTTCGAGACCCGCCTGGGCAGCAATACCTCATCTCTATAATAAAATCAAAAAATCAGCCGGGCGTGGTAGCACTTGCCTGTAATTCCAGCTACTTGGAAGGCTGACGCGAAAGTATCGCCAGAGCCCAGCAGGTCGAGGTTGCGGTGGCCAGGAGCGGCCACTGCACTCCAGTCTGGGCAACAGAGTGAGACTCCAACTCAAAAAAAGAAAAAAAAGAAATTAGGACAGTGAAGGCTTGGGGTAGAGTTGACTGAAAAGGTGCATCCAGGCCGGGCTCGGTGGCTCAGCCTGTAATCCCAGCGCTTTGGGAGGCCGAGGTGAATGAATTGCCTGAGCCCACGGGTTCGAGACCCGCCTGGGCAACTTGGCGAGCCCTCATCTCTACAGTAAATCAAAAAAGTAGCCGGATGTGGTAGCACACGCCTGTAGTTCCAGCTACTTGGAAGGCTGAGGTGGAAGGATCGCCGAAGCCCAGCAGGTCAAGGCTGTGGTGGCCAGGAGCGGCCATTGCACCCCAGTCTGGGCGACAGAGTGAGACCCCAACTCAAAAAAAAAAAAGAAAAAAAAGAAAAGGTGCATCCAGGAACTTTATGTGGTGATGGAAATGTTCTGCATTTTGATTTGGATGTAGGTATACATTTGTCAAAACTTATCAGACTGTATTCTTAATAACTATGCATTTCATAGGATATAAATTACACCACAAAATTATAAAAATAAAGAAATCAAAATTGAAGGACTAGACCTTTATGGGAGATGGTGAGGAGTAAGAGAAGTCAATGAACTTTGCTTTACAGCTTGCCTAGATGCTACAATGTTATAGTGGAAGGGACCAGAACGATCATGTGGTACTGCCCATGTAACTGGACAGGCCAACTTTTACAACAGTCCTTACCTAAACTATTAAAAGGGAGGAAAGGCTTATCTCTTTGGTTGGGAGATGGCAAAACAATTTCTTTAGTGACTATTGGAATGGACTCTTCTTGAGAGATGATTCTTTATAGCCTAGACTAGAATCTTCGAAAGCCCACAGTGCTTAGTTCAGCTTAGTATGTGGAAGTCAGTTTAGTATTTTCAAGGGTGTTATACTAGAAAAAGCAAAACTGCAGGATAAACCATCCTGGAATGTCTAGCACTCTGTGGAGATGTGGAGAAGTTGTCCTAGGACACAGCACCGAACTAGATCGTTACTCACCCATCTGTGACCTTGTACAGGACATCAAACCTCTCTAGGTCACTATTTCCTCATCTTTAGACCTGACAGCTCTTGATGTACCCATCCCCACAGGGTTATTTTGAAGTTCAATTAAGATTATAAATGTAAACATGCTTTTAAAGTGCTCTACCATTAAGAAACAAATATAAAATGTTACAGACTTTTTTTTTTTAAAGCGGAGTAGTAGAAAAATCCCAGTAATGAGGGTGACTGGCCTCTTATACAGACGTTTCGGAATAGCTTGCACATTCCTGGTTGAAAAAACTGTCTGGCCAAAAAAGATTAAATAAAGAAATGTCAAGTACTGACACTCCATTTGAGGCCAGTGAATACTTTGGTGGGGAGCCAGGGTTATCTTGCTGGATTCCTTCTAAACTCGGTAACAGAGTCCTCCAGACTCTCGAATGCTTTCTTTGCTCAGGTGCTGAGTAACATGTCACCCAGATCTGAGTGGGCCCCACAATGCACAGGTGCTTATGTCTTCCCTATTTCTCCTGACCGTCTTGACAGCCATGCAGCTGATCCAGCTCAAAAGAAGAGATCAGAGGAAGAGATTTGTCCAGTATCCCTAGGCCAGGGCAGAATGAAGGCCGGTTTTGTCAGAGCAGAACGGCAGTGTGTGAGGCTTTGGGTCCTGTTTGTGGGGCTGGGATTGAGGCAGGATGGCCAGGCGGATGATTCGATCTGACTTGGGTAATGAAAATTGTTTGTTACTGTTTGAAGAGTAATTGTGTAAGCAACAGTACTTCTGTGTTTGGCTGCCCGTGACTCACCAGTGTCTGTAACATAACACCAAACCCAGAGGAGGAGCAGACCCTGGCCAGCGGGGGAGGGGGAGAGGCAGGGGGCAGAGGGCCCCCCTACTCATTCAAACCGGCTTCTCCCTCTTCCACTGTCCCACCCCCTCTCTAAACCTCGGAGGAGAGTTGGTGAGAAGGCATTTGCCACCTGGACACAATGAGGCCCAGTGCGAGGGGCAGGCGAGAGGCTGGCCAGGAGCCAGGGCCCTGGTCTGAATGGCTGTTGCCAAGGGGCTGCCAACAGCCCATCTCAATCCCCAAGAGTCCGGGCCAGTGAGCGGCTGGGGCCCAACCCCCACCTCTGAGGCCTAACTCACGCCATTTGCTGGCCGTGATCAGAATGTGCAGGACACAGGGGCTTTGAGCAGCTGAACAGAGCCGTTTCCCCTCTGCTGGCCGCTGGTTCACTTGGATTAGAGCGGGCTCTCCGGAGTCCCTTTGTTGGCTGCTTGTTATTCCGCACGCACGGAGCACTGTGCATTCATCTTTATTAGTTCTAATTGCTTCCCCATTCTAATGGGATCTTGATATTCCCATACAATTGAAAGGAAATGTATTCATTAAAATAATTCTTTTCCTAACTGCCGCTTCAAGCTGCTCCTCTAAGTGACATTGTCTCTCTAACCACAGCCTGCTGAGGCCTCTTATTAAGACTCTAGTCAAAAGCCAACTTTGGGCAGCAAACTTTCCTTGCAGGAGTTTCCAGACACTGCAGAGAGGGTGCTTTTTAATCGGCTCACACGCAGAAGTTGGAGGCCAGCTGGTGTAATTGGGGGTGCTGCTCCGGGTGGATGGAGGGAGTAGGGCTCGCCTCCAGCTCTGCCTCCCATAACAATGACCCCTTTCTGCACACCAGCCGGCTCATTTGGAGAGGGCTTTCCCCCTGTCCTGTGTGTGAAACTTCTTGTTTATGCCACAAGCAGTTACTAGGTGTGTTCTAAGCGCTAGGCACTGAGTAAGGTGCTGTGGGAAGTGTGGAGACAGAGCTGTAGTCTCAAGGTGTTTATGGCCTTGGTGGGTGGCTCCCAACCCCAAGTCCCTAGAGTTAGCTATGAGAGAAAAGCCTGGGAGTGCTCTCAATGTTGAAAAAGCTTAATAGGCTCAAACACTTAGAAAAGCAGGCTATTATTTCATAAATGTATTTGGTTTAATAACCAAAACCTTTCAAGCCATGGGATCGTGGGAGTACTACAAGAAGCTTTTTGGGACATTGGGAACCACTGATCTATTTAGGTGAAATAAACCAACCTAGAAACAATGTCTTTGTAAACGTGCGCTCTCTACATGGGGGGGTATAAATAAAGTGCCATAGGACATGGGGGAGTGGTAGGGAGTATGTACCAGGCACACACAACCGCCTGCATCTTATTTTAATCCCTAGAACAGCCCTTTGAGGCATAATTATTCCCCATGGTACAAATGAGATCTAAGAGAAGGTAGGTAACGTGTCCACTGACAAGAGTTGGACCAGGATTTGAACACCGGCCTTCCGATTCCAAAATGTTTCCATTGCACCTCACATATCTATTAAGGGGGATCAGAGGAGGTTTCATGTGGAAGGTGGTGTGAGGCTTTTAGGGATGGTGGGTTGTTGACAGAATGTGTGGTCCCGCAGGAAGCAAAATCACAGGGACTGGGAAGAAGCTGGCATATCAGGAAATGACAAGAGTCCAGGTGGCCCAGAGTCTGGAGAGTGTACAGAGGAGTAGGAGAAAAGCAGAAAGGTTTGTGAGGGCAAAATAGTAAAGCACCTTGCATGTCAGGAGTTTGGATTTTTTCCTGTAGATAATTCTCCAGAGAGGATACTTGAAGCCTCCAAATAAACACACTATTTCTTTCAGGAGCATCAGTTTTCCTTGAGGTGAGTAATTTTAAACATCTTCATATTAAAAGAAATTCAGATATATCATGGAGTAGAATGCAAAATTCTCATGAATTTTTAAGTGAAAACAGGAGACTTCAAAGAGAGTTTGGGTGTGCTGGCAGGAGCTTCAGGCTATGCAGTCCCCTGAGGGAACTTGCAGCATTTCTTTTGTCTATTGTTGGTGTACTTGATTGAGAAGCACTGATTTTCAGATAAAGTGTTTTGATCCCAGGAATAAAATAATTAGCTATATTTCAAGAAGGAAGGCAAAGGCTTGGAAGATGGATTGGACAGGGCAGGGATTGAGGGCAAGAGGCCAGTTAGGAGGCTGTTGCAATAAACTCTCAGGAGACACACAGGACCTGGGCGCTGCCTGGACCTCAGAACCCACCTTCTTACCCTGGGACTTTTGGAGGGGGCCACCTGACAGACAACTCACCTTGTAGCTGCTCCTTCCTTTTAATGGACTCAGCAACAAGACTAAGATGGCCAAGGAGGCGATAGCAGAAGCAGCCAAAAAGTGGGTCTGGGCCAGGAATGGTCTTTACAGAGACCTTTGTGCCTTGGCCACCTCATCAGCCATGCTGCCCTCCAACCACCTTTTGGCTCCACAAGTCCATTAACTTACCTGCCGGAAGGCAAGTGGGTGGACCACTGATTCTCAGGAAGCCCTGCCTTGTTGCAGCATTCCGCCTTCATATACTGGCAGGCAGTTTTATTGTACATAGCATGGTGGCCAACAGCCTATGGTTAAGAGAGACCCAAGGGAAGGAAAGAGGGGGGATAGCCATCTCAGCTGAGGACCGAGGCCATGCTTGACTTCTCTTTGTCATCAGTGGATGGAAATAGCCTACATCAGCCAGAATCTCTTACTCATGTTGCTCTTTTTGGGTAGATCAAGTTTAGACAGTTTAGGATTTGTTTCTTGAAGGGCCTTTTTAAAAAAAGCCTCAAAAAATAACTTAGTGATTTTTATTTTGTTATTTTAGAAGGGATTGTTTATTGTAGAGAATTAAGAAAATCCTGATCATAAAAAAGAAAAAAACCAAACAAAACAATATCTGTAATTCCACCACCCAGGAGTACAACAGCAAACAAAATACTTTGGTGTGTTTCCTCCCCATATTTTTCTAAGCATATGCATTTTTTATTTTTTAATGGAGTCATTTTACATTGCTTTGTATATGCGTAAGGTATGTTTCTTCACATCCCCGAATATTTCACATTAATAAACATTTTTCTATAAGGTAATTATTTGTGATTAAAATTATCCCATGAACCCCATGTCATCTTTAATGCCTGTTGTTATACATTTAGTTTGTTTTGAGTTTTTCATTATTAGCCACAAGTAAGTGAGGACTTGTGGCTAAATTTTTCACAAGGCAGTATTATAAGTAATATTTTCTCTTACATTTTACAAGTAACCACTTCATTGCAGAAAAATCTAAGTTTAGACAAGAAGTATTAAACACTATAATCTTACCATTCAGAAGTCTTATCTATATCATTTCAGTGCCTAGCCTTACAGATTGTATTCTGTGCAAATATTTATATCTATACATAAATACACACATTGAACAAAGTCTGTAAGTTTGGTATGATACATTTTTATTAAAACAACACTATTTGCTAACCTGCTTTTCCTTAATATATAATGACTATTCTATCCTTGTCATTAAATGATGTTCAATATTTTCATTTTATTGCTTTCTAATAATACATTGTATAAGTGTATAAGCATTTATTTATCGTATTGTATATATGGGTTTTTCCTGGAACAGTCTTTTTTTTCTTATTTTATGTGATTTCTTTATATAGTAAGAATATTAAATTCTTTGTCATGCTGCAAATATATTTTCTGATTATTATTTTTCCTTGAGGCTTACTTGAGGTAAAATTTTTTTCTTTATTTTCATAATTATAAAAATGGAACATGATCATTTTTACAAAAATTAGAAAATACAGATAAAAAGAAAAAATAATTAAAATGAAATAACCCTAAATCCTACCAACTAGAGATAACCACTATTAATATTTTATAATATATCTTTCTAGACTTTCCTATTTTCCAACATAGATGACTAGGACCACATAGATATGATATTTTAAAAAACAAAATTGGGATTAGTCTACATATATTTCTGTGACCTACTTTATGCACAAAATTCATTTTGAAAAACTGTGTCAACACAAATGAATCTGCATCATTATATATTAAATTATTATTATTATTTTTAGTCAAGGTCTGGTGCCCAGGCTGGAATGCAGTGGCACGATCACGGCTTACTGTAGCCTCAATCTCTTGGGCTCAGGTGATCCTTCTGCCTCAGCCTTCCGAGTAGCTGAGACTACAGGCATGCCACCACGCCTGGCTAATATTTTTTATTTTTTTGTAGAGATGAGGTCTAGCTATGTTGTCCAGGCTGGTCTTGAACTCCTGGGCAAAATAAATCCTCCCATTTCAGCTTCCCAAAGTGCTGTGGGCCATCATGCCTGGTCATTAATATTGTTTTGGTTTTTTTTTTTGAGTTGGAGTCTCACTCTGTCGCCTACTGGAATGCAGTGGCCGCTCCCAGCCACTGCAGCCTCGACCTGCTGGGCTCCAGTGATCCTTCCGCCTCTGCTTTCCGAGTAGCTGGAATTACAGGCACGCACTACCATGCCCGGCTGATTTTTTGATTTATTGTAGAGATGAGGTCTCACCAAGTTGCCCAGGTGGGTCTCAAACCCACGGGCTCAGGCAATCCACTCACCTCAGCCTCCCAAAGGCGCGGGATTACAGGCTGAGCCACCGAGCCTGGCTTAATATTGTTTTTAAAATAGACAATGCTTTCACATAGCTCAAAAATCAAAACATCAAAAGCATACACTGACAATTCTTGCTCCTACCCATGTCCCCATTCAGCTGGTTCTCTGATTTTTCCCTCCCCACAGCTTACCACCTTTCATAGTTGCAGTGCTTCTTTTTGAAAAAACAAGCAAGTACAAATATATATTCCCTGTCCTATCTTACTCAGAAGTTCACACACTGTGCACATTATGTGGCACTTTGATTTTTTTTTAAGACTTTTTTTTTTGGAGCAGTTTTAGGTTTACAGCAAAACTGAGAGAAAACTTCAGAGATTTTCCGTATGCCACATCCCACACATGCATAGCTTTCCATGATCAACGGTCCCCACCAGAGTGACACATTTGTTACAACTGATGAACTTATATTGTCACATCATTATCACTCAAGCCCGTGGTTTACATTAGGGTTCACCTTTGGTGTATAGTATGGACTTGGACAAATGTATAATGGCATGTATCCACCATCATAGAATTGTACAGAGTATTTTTATTTTTATTTTTATTTTGAGTTAGAGTCTCACTCTGTCACCCAGACTGGAGTGCAGGGGCTGCTCCTGGCCTCCGCAGCCTCGACCTGCTGGGCTCCGGCGATCCTTCCGCTCAGTCTTCTGAGTAGCTGGAATTACCGGCACGCGCTACCATGCCTGGCTGATTTTTGATTTAGTGTAGAGATGAGGTCTTGCCAAGTTGCCCGGGCAGGTCTCGAACCCGTGGGCTCAGGCAATCCACTCACCTCAGCCTCCCAAAGCGTGGGATTACAGGCTGAGCCACCGAGCCTGGCTTGTACAGAGTATTTTTACTGCCCTAAAAATCCTCTGTGTCTACCTATTCAACCCTCTCACCCCTCTGGCATCTTGCTTTAAAAAACACACCAGGCCAGGCTCGGTGGCTCAGCCTGTCATCCCTGCACTTTGGGAGCCCGCGGCAAGTGGATAGCGTGAGCCCGCGGGTTCGAGACCAGCCCAGGCAACTTGGCGAGACCTCGTCTTTAAAATAAATAAAAAATTAGCCAGGCATGGTGGCGTGCGCCTGTGGTTCCAGCTACTTGGAAGGCTAAGGCGGAAGGATTGCCAGAGCCCAGCAGGTTGACGCAAGCGTGCCACTACACTCCAGCCTGGGCGACAGAGTGAGACTCCAACTCAAAAGCAAAAACAAAAACAAACCTGAGTTAATAGTATATAATGGAGAATTTTCCATATCAGTACACAGAGAGCCCCTTGGTACTTCATGGTGTGGAGGGACTATGATATCGAACTAATTCTGTATAGTTGGACATGTGAATTATTTCCAATCTTTTGCTATTCTGAACAATGCTATCATAATACTTATGTCATTTCTGTATATGTGCAAATATATTTGCAGGAAAAATTCTGTGACTAGAACTGACGGGCGAATCAAGGGGTAAATATAGTGACACCAACAGAAAACATCAGATTGCCCTTCATAAGGATGTACTGTTTTGGACTCCCACCAGCAATGAATGAGGATGCCTATTTCCCGACAACTCCTGCAACTGAGTAAATCTTGGATATGTACAAATCCAGTAGGTGAAAAGAGTGTATCATTGCAACTCCTTTATAATGTGTTCTCCTTTTATTGTAAATGAGGTTAAGCATTCTTTCATATACTTAAAAGGCATTCATATGCCTGGTCTTTTTTGTCTGAAAATGAGTACTTTTTCTATTGGGTTATTGGTCTTGATTTATGGGAACAAATTATGTATTAGGGTGATTGGCCTTTTGTGAAATGAGTTGTAATTTTTTTTCAGTTAGTCGTTTGTTTTTTCACTTTGCTTATGGTGTTTTTGTCATGAAGGAATTTTAAGATTTTTATGTAAATGTATTTGTCAGTTTTATTTTATGATTTCTTGATTTTGAATCAGTTAGAAAGGTCTTCGCTACTCAAAGATTATAAGAATTCTGTTGTTCTTCTAATAATCTTTTTTTTTTTTTTTTTAGTCAGAGTCTCACTCTATCACCCAAGATGGACCTCCTGGGCTCAGGCAATCCCTCCGCCTCAGTTTCCTAAGTAGGTGAGACTACAGGCACACGCCACCACACCCGGCCAATTTTTTTTTAGAGATGATGTTTCACTGTGTTGCCCAGGCTGGTCTTGAACTCCTAAGCACAAGCAATCTGCCTGTCTCAGCCTCTCAAAGTGTTGGGATTACAGGCGTGAGCCACCACTCCTGGCCTTCTAGTAATTTTATGGTTTTATTTTCTGCGTTTATATCTTTGATCCACTTGAAGTTTATCCTGGTGTACTGTGTGAAATATTGGTCCAGCTTCTTTTTTTTTTTTTGGAGTTGGAGTCTCACTCTGTCGCCCAGACTGGAGTGCAGTGGCTGCTCCCTGCCACCGCAGCCTTGACATGCTGGGCTCCAGCGATCCTTCAGCCTCAGCCTTCCAAGTAACTGGAACTACAGGCACGCGCTACCATGCCCGGCTGATTTTTTATTTATTGTAGAGATGAGGTCTCGCCAAGTTGCCCAGGCGGCTCTCGAACCCGTGGACTCAGGCAATCTACTCACCTCAGCCTCCCAAAGGCACGGGATTACAGGCTGAGCCACCGAGCCTGGCTCTATTTTTTTCCAGTTAGCTGAACACCATTTATTTAAAAATCTGTCTTTGGCCAGACACAGTGGTTCATGCCTATAATACCAACATTTTGGCAGGTAGAGGCAAGAGAATCACTTGAGGCAAGGAATTCAAGACCAGCTGGGGCAACATGAAAGACCCTGTTTCGCCAAAAAAAAAAAAAAAAAAAAAAAGAAAAGGAAAGAAAAATCAGCAAATCATTCAGACATGGTAGCAAGGGCCTATATAGTCCTTGCTACTTAGGAGGCTGAAGTGGGAAGATCACTTGAGCCCAGGAAGTTGAGGCTGCAGTGAGCT